AAACAATTGGACATAACCTTACACATTAAGACAAATATTAAGACTAGCATTACAGTTGACCCTAACAGCTCTTTTCCTGTAACCTTGACGTGCCTGCAGTCTGCCCTGCAAGCACAGTTAACAGCCTAAGCTAGTCAATCTGTCTCCACTAACATTTCTAGACAACAAATCTCTGAATATCTATCTAACTAGGAAATAACCTAACACTAGACTGCTGTTCGGCGTACCAACTGGGTGTTCCTGATCTGCCACTGTCACTAAAACTCTGTGCTCCTATCTACTCACCTGTGAGTTACCTGTTTACTCCAGCTACACCAGTGTGACTCCTGACCAGCATACCTGTTGTCTCTTCCTCATCTGCCGGTGTCGCTGTAACTCTGGGCTCCTGTCTATTCACCTCCAGAGATCATCAACTATGTGGTTCTGAGAATTTACCGTTGGCACTGACGTCTTCCTGATCCAGTTGGTTGGCATGTTCCGGATCTGTCAGTGGCGCAGTCTTCCTCTCAGCCTCCCTCACTCACCACGTCGGGGTTGACATCCCAACCTTCTCCAACCCACATGTGAGTTCCCTTAACGCCAGATCCTCTGGCGCCTCCTTGCCATCCTCTACTTACCTCACGTACCTGTCCTGCCAGTCACTCTGCTCTCCCTGTCTGTCTTGCTTTGTTCATCCGCAAGGACCTAGGTCATTGGTGGTGCAGCCTCACTCATCAGCACACTGCACTCCACTCTCCAGTGCACCTCAGAACCTCTGACTGAACTGGTTCATCCCCTGCCAGGCTCCACTCACCGGTGCACTCCAGGGTCCCGGACCACTCCAGCTCGTCTCCGCCACCTGTTTCTCTGTCCTGCCTCGACCTTCTCCTCGCTGAGAAGTGCCCGCCTTCCAGCTACGGACTCTTGCCCAGTAGACCTGGCCCTGTCAAAACAGTTACCCAAATAAAATTTCTGCTCTGGATTGTGTCAAGACCTGCCTTCTGAGTCTTAGTTTGTCTGTATCTTTCTTAGTCGGACCCACCGGTCCTAACACCTTGGACACAGGTGATGTTGTGCCTGAATTCATTACTCTATTTCTACATTAGACCGTTTTCAGTCAGACTGCATGAAAATTGCAGCCCTTCTCATTCATTTGAACTGGGGAAGTGCCGGGACTTCTGCCAAACTGACACAGTATCACGCAGGATAAAATGGTTGGATCTGTCGTTGTCTGGCAAGACACTGTGTCAGCCAATCACATACATCTGACAGTACATGCATACAGTGGTGGAATGTAACTGTGTACATTTGTCAGAAAACGGCGCGCGTAGTGCGGCCGAAAAGTGTTTTTGTGAACTCTATTAAATGGCCAGACGAGGAAGTGTTTAAACAAAAACCGTCTCTTTATTACGAGAACTAAAACTAAACAAAAAACCATACAACACACGGTGCAAACACAAAAACTCACGGTCGGTATCGGTCCCAGGTCAGAGCCAGCAAACACGTACATCCAGGGGAATCCAAAGTGCGTAGTCCGAGGGGAAAGTCCGATAAGCCGATACACATGAGCAGTCCGAGATAAGAGGGCAAGGCAATACAGGGTAATCCAATTAACAGTCCGGGTCAGAAACACAAAATACCAAAAACCGAATATACGCTGGAAAGTCTGAGCTGGGGTCTAGAACAATCTGGCAGCGTCCTCATGGGAGGACGCTGCCTAAATAGAGATGAAAACAGGTGCACAAAATAACGAAGCAGGTGAAACTAATGTGAGTGATGAACGTAAAGAAAAGACCAGAACTAAGGTGAAACAAAACAGGAAATAGTGTCAAAATAAAAGCCAGACAGGAAGCAGT